AGATAGATAGATAGATAGATAGATAGATAGATAGATAGATAGGAATATGTGGACAACACACAGGTATACCTGCAGATTTTGAATTAAACCCTGTGATGTGTGTATAGTATGTATATAGTCTAATATACGTGTTTGTATGTATTTGAATGACTACCTTAAAAACTCACTCTAATGTTCCTCTGTTCTTCTCTTGTTTCTTCCACCATCAAATTCGGATTCTTCAAACACACAGAAAAGTCAAAGCTGGTATAACGTAAGTCTGTTTTTATTCTTTTGTATGTTCTACTTATATCAGTGATTTTTGATATTCAATGTTGTGTTGTGTGTTTGTATGATATTGGCATTTAGGGCTGGGCAGTATATTGAGTTTGTATGATATATCAATATATTTTTTATGAACGATATGATATGAGGCAATACCACCTACAGTATATCGATATACAGTAGTCTGATACAAGCGCATCTGAAAAATAGCAGAGGACACAGAGTTCGCTGCTGCGGGGAAAGTGCATAATCCAATTTGTCCTAAACATGAGATATACTTATATAAAGGGCTTTAAAATAACTGGTAGGATATAGTTAGCACGTATAGTTTAAAGCTGTTTGCCCCGTTAGATGCTCTGACAGATACATGTGCTGCCTACAGAGACGCAACTTGTGCTGTTTAATGTGTTTGAAACGTACATTTCACACATATATTCTCCATCTTTATGTGTTAGAAAGTCATAGAAATATTTCCATTTTGCTGTCAGGAGCTCATGAGCCTTCTGCATGTGATTTTCCGCTAAACTTCACAGACTTCAGGGAACATGCGCCATAAAGGAGCGCAATACGGTGACCGAGAAGTGCAAAGCAAATCACAATTCTGAAAACAAAATAACAAATTACAAACGCAAATGCAAGTCTACAAACAATTTTAAACCTACAGGTAAGTGTATTTTATGATAGCAGTAACTGTAAAGTGACTATTGTAAAGGGGTAATCAAAATATAATGCAATTAATCTGTGCTTTTGTTTTTATTTCTTTCATTTTTAGTTTAGTGAATTTAACTTCTGCTTTAAAGAGCATTGATTTAGTTTTTAGATTGTAATGTTACGATGTAATGTGATTTTAGCCCCTTTTTGCACATAATAGCCCATAGCATGGTTACTTTCACTATATTTGTTTTCATTGTCTTTAACCTGTAACTTCGTGGCATACAACTCGAGAAAAAAAGAAAAAAAAAAAGAAGCTAAACATATCTTTGGAAAGCTGATTCCATTTTAAGATACAATCAACAGAGCAGGTATAATCAGTGTCTTTGCCAACAAGGCTTCATGCTGTGATCCCATTGTGTTTTCCAGCTAATAGCTCCCAGCTATTGTCATCTGCAGTGCAGGCATCTGTTTACAAAAAAAAAAAAATGTAGGCAGAATTTTTTTCCTTTTTCAGTGTGTTCAAAGTTCTATTACTCAATATCAGTAAGACTTACAGTGACACTCCTAAACAGAACAAACCTCAGAGTGTCGCCTTTCAAAAGAGACCAAAACCATGCATATACTGTACTCCAAATGGTTCAAGAACAGCATGCAATTTACTTTGGGTATGCCTTTTGTAGGCGTTCTAAGCAAATTTTACAGGAATGCTAAGGGGTTAATATAAACATTGCTACATTGGACAACACTGGGCATGGCTTTATCAGTTGTAGGATGATGAGAATCATGTGAATCTGGGAGGTTGTCTCCTCCCAGTGTTGTTTGAGTTAAACTGCTTTCACAGACATTTTCATGTTGGAAATGATTACCTCTTTCTTCTGTAAGGCTGGATGTTTGACCTGACTTTTCCCAGCATTTATTTTCCTGTGGGAAAGAATAGATTTTTTTCTTCGGGTCAGCCAGCTCTTAATGACATTTTTTCATCATTTTACAAGTGCCTTTGTGATGTTTTGTCAATGTGTTATGGTTGGTCATAACCTCTGGGCCATCTCTATGAAAGTGCACTGCAGAATGGCAGAACAAAGCCTGCAGTGTTCTTTCTCACAAATAAACAGTGTTTCTTTTTCTGCCATGGATCAGGCTATGTTACTGCTCGAACATAATACAGCTAAAAATTTAAATGCATAGTATAGCTCAGATAACTTGGTTCTGAAGGAATTTGATGAAAAACATTTCAGTTCATATGAGATTTTGAGGTCTCCTGAAACTCATGTCAGATTACTGTTTTCTCTCTCTCTCTCTCTCTCTCTCTCTCTCTCTCTCTCTCTCTCTCTCTCTTGCGAGAATAATCTGTGAAGTTCTCTTATTGTCTACATTTTATCCCTACATTTTACATTTTAAATATGTAACATTTAAATTATTTCCCCATAATCACTTTAAAAGCAGAATTGAATGTTTATATAATGCACACTATTTTGCAGTTTTTCACAGGCATATTTTTTTGCAATTTGATGGACAAATACTGATTATTATATTATATTATATCATATTATATTATATTGTTTTATTTAATGCATTTTCATTGCTGAAATTCCACTGATAAAATAAAGTGAAAACATGAATTTTCAATTTGAAGCAAGTGATCTGCACCAAATTTTGACATGTGAATGGATGATAGTTCAAACTTGGCTTAAAAATGTAAGGGGGGTACAAGGGCAGTCTGAATGAGTATGAAGCTTCTGCATGTCTCCATAAACAGAAGAAAACAAGATGTGTGGACACCAGCAGCTGTGTGCAGATAGCAGTGCCTGTTAATAAAGATCAGCTGGAAACAATGATGCTGGGACTCTCTCCTAGTGTGAGCTTATCAGAAAATATTAAACTTTGCTCATTTTTGTTTTTCCTGGGTGGACAGATGAGACAGACACAAGCTGTAAGATGTCAACTGTAAACACTCTTCTGACATCCATTCCAGTTGGGCATCAGTGAAGAAAAAGCATTTTCGCCACAGGACTGTAAATAATCACATCCCATGTGGTCGCGGGGAGGGTCAAGTCATTTTTATTTTGTAGCGCATTTTACAATCCATTACGTTTCAAAGCACCTTTACAGAAAATGATGCATTAGGCCTTCAAACCCTGAGTGAACAAGCGAAGAGCAACTGTGGCAAGGAAAAAAAATACTCCATATGACGTTAAGCCAGCAGAGAAAAAATCTTGAGAAGAACAGGACTCATCCTCCTTCTTCTCCAATGACCACACCTGGTTAGATTTTGGTAACTATCTCAAATGAAATACCAATTTGACCCAGACTTGATTTGGCATCAAGTGACAACCCAACATAGTTGTTCAAATAAGGGACTTTCTTAGAGCTTCCAAAACAAATGCAATGAGATGATTCTACTGAGTGTCTTGCTCCTGAGCTGAACAATGAGTCTGCCTCAGTAGCGGCCTGAGATGTTTTGATTGAGAGGGGATTGAAGGAGAGGCCAGAAAGAGAGATGATTCACCCATTTGGCATCCCCTCAACGTCCCCCCTTCCTCTAGCGCAGGAAGTTAACTAGAGTTCGTTCACCCCGTGAGAGTGCGAGTATGAGGGAGAGAAGGAAGACTGAGGCGTTGTCCTTGGCTGCGCCTAAACACTAACACCATAAAATGACTTGTGCACAATGGGGGCCTCTGTGATTCTCTCTCAAACTTTCTTTATCTCTCCATCCTATATTTTCCTCCACCTCCCACTGTTTTGATCTTACTCCCACCTCATGAAGCCAAAAAACTTCTGCTTTTCATGCTATTTTTTGGGGGTTTTGTAATGAAATGAAAACATTTGTGGAAGCTGAAGTGTCTTGTTCAGGCATTAAGCGTCTCAGGGTCTTCAGGAAACTGACAACAGCAGCTATCACTGCAGTATAAATGGTGTTTTTGCAACATTTCTGGAGAGACATGAAATCTAGGTTGGCCTGGGATTGGGAGGGGTGTAATGACAGTCCTAGGAGAAGCATATAAATCTCACAGCTCTTCGATCATGAGTGAGAAAAATGTACAGCCTGAAGCAAAGAGCTTACTACATCTTGACACGGCCCCTCCTCTCTCTTCTCCTTGGCATTCTATTGGCCAGCTGGCTTCCCTAGCTCCTCCCCCTCCCTGTTTCTCACACACAAACATTCTCTCAGGCCACTCCCATTCCTTTTGGCACAATTGTTTTGTAGAAAGTCTCAGTGAGAACTCTTTCCTGCCATAGTAAAGGGTTGCTTCAGCTCAAGTTGGTCTTTCTGTGAGATTTAATGAGACAAATTTTGCATCCTCTGGGAAGAAATTTACTCAAAAGCGACTCACAGCAGATGAACGCATCTTGGCTTGCAAGGATATTAATGTGTGCAATTTTGAATATGCATGCTGAAGAAAGAATTTTGAAAGAAAAAATATTTTTTGAAACATTGTAAAGTGGCAACGTTCCTCAGTTATTGGCTGGATCTGGAACTGCTTCTTGTATTTTGTAAATTTGGTGGATCAGCAGGTGTAAACCCTAAAACAAGAAGAGAGCAGCTGCAAGGAACATTTCCATTCTGAGAGCATCAAGTGATCAATTCCAAAGGACGAACATCACTACATGTTACCACTAACTGTCCTCTGTGTCTTGTTAAAAATTTGACTCATTTCCTGAGGAAAACGTGCTCCATTTTCATTGTCAAGGGCGATGTGTGTCTTTCAGTGTGAGGATTTTTCCTGCTGCATGTGGAAGATTGTTTGGCTGGTGTTTAGGTGCTGAGACTCACTTAAAAAACAAAATAGGTAATGCCAAAGTACAGTTGCAGAGGTTACTCCAGGTCATTTTAGAACGTGGCCTGGTGAAGCTGCACTGGAGCTCAGGTCACATGCTGAAGCATTGCACCACTGTCAGGAGCTGAGACAATAAGTGGCAACGTCTCCACAACTAGACAGGAGCGATGGAAGTCCTCTGTTTTGAGGCTGAGTCTGATTGGCTCTACGACTGGGAGGCGGTCCAACAACCCGAAGTGCCCCTGTGTGATTGGACGGACTGGGACTGGGATTCTGAGAGTGTTCCTGCTGTAAGCAACCAATCAGAGAGGAGAAGAGTAGACAGTTATCTCCCTCCTCTTGTTTAGCTTTGGTTATGTTAGATCATGAGCATCTTCCAAACTGTTTGTGGTTTCAGTCAGGACTGGCCTGCAGAGGAACTGAAGTGCTTATTCAGTACATTGGCGTAGATAATGAAGCCAACAGAGCATTGAAAATATATATTTTTTGTAAAAACTTTTTTTATGTTGTATATGGGGGACACAAATGGCACCCGTTTTGTATAATGATCCTTTACAGTTTGTCTTCTTTGTACCCTCTCGGAAATGCTGAATGTTTTGACTGTCTCTGTTTGGATGTTTGTGGCTGTATGTGTGTTTATGTGTACTGTACATAGCTGGTCTCATTCTCTCTCTCCTCTTGTCATTCAGGTTTTGAGTCCCACATACAAACAGCGAAATGAAGACTTCAGGAAGCTCTTTAAGCAGCTGCCTGACACAGAGCGCCTCATTGTGGGTGAGTCTTATATTTGATCTTTATGCTACGGTATAATAGGTATTAAAATTTTCACAACTTTTATAAAAAATGTAGATCCACTAGTGATAGCCTATTATATTTTTGGTGTGTGATTGGAAACAATATGTAAAAAAAATATGTATGAAAGGGGCTGCTGTATCCTAACATCCATGACCTCTGACCTCTCGCCTTATCCTGACAGACTACTCCTGTGCCCTGCAGAGAGATATCCTCCTGCAGGGTCGCCTCTACCTCTCTGAAAACTGGATCTGTTTCTATAGCAACATATTCCGCTGGGAAACGCTGGTGAGTTGATGAATTACTCTCATCTTAGAGGGAATCAGTCTCTCATGCCATATTCTTGAACCGCTGAAACAGAAAGCTGTGTGAGGGGAAGCAGCTAATTTTGCACGAAAATCACATTTCTGCCTTTTTTTTTGAAGATACAGTGAACATGCTGTGTTGAGATGTGGCTTCTGCTGGTTTGTTGAGTTTGTGGTGTCTTGTGTGTGTAGCTGACTGTGAAGTTGAAAGATGTTTGCTCCATGACGAAAGAGAAGACTGCTAGACTCATCCCCAATGCCATCCAGCTGTGCACAGACAGTGAAAAGGTAAACACAGGCCTTTGACTTTTGCATAACACCAGTAGTGTACCAACACTAAACATCTACATGTTCTCCTCCAGCACTTTTTTACCTCATTCGGGGCAAGAGATCGGACGTACATGATGATGTTCAGACTCTGGCAAAATGCTCTACTGGAAAAGGTTGGACAAGACATGGCATTATATCCAGTGATCTGTTGAAAACAAATGCTTGGTTGCCATGTTCACCCACCGTGTCTCTTGTTTTTATTTAGCCATTGTGTCCCAAAGAGCTGTGGCACTTTGTCCATCAGTGTTATGGGAATGAACTGGGTCTGACCAGTGATGATGAGGATTATGTACCTCCTGATGACGACTTCAACACCATGGGGTGAGTTTTCCCCTGTCATGAATGTTCAACCATTTAGGTGATTCATAATTTACAAATCTCCACCCTCTCTCACGGCTTTGTTAGAAGAGGTCCAGAAAACATATGTTAATTCGTAATTTAAGAGATTTCTACATTTTCATGTGACACTGAAGACTGGAGTAATGATGCTGAAAATTCAGCTTTGCACCACAGAAATAAATTAAATTTTTGAATATATTAAAATAGAAAACTGTTATTTTAAATTGTAATAATATTTCACAATATTACTGTTTTTACTGTATTTTTGATTAAATAAATGCAGCCTTGGAGAGCATAAGAGACTTGTTTTAAAACATATATTTAGCCACTCTCGATTCAATAAATTAAAAACACCATCAAAATCAGCAAATCAAAAGTACCCAATCAGATATACCTAGTCAAACTTGGTGCATCCAATATTCAGATGACCATTAATTTGTTGTAGACATCTTCATATCTCCTTTTCACCCACTATCCATCGGTCCATCCCATTGCTATCTGTGGGAGAGGGTCTATTCTTCTGCCCGAGCTGGTAATCTTGACCTGCAGCTGTTGCCCTTCTCCCTGGTGCAGGTACTGTGAGGAGATTCCCGCTGAAGAAAACGAGGCCAATGACAACTGCCCCAAAACCCCAGATGCCAAAATGGACATCAGCCCCCAGCTCCACAGGAAGGTTTTCCCCAACAGCAGTCTGAATTCCACAGACAGCACAGACGCTCCGGTCAACGTAAGCACCAGATCCCTTCACACAACATATCACTGCGTTACTGTGGGAATAGTAGTTTGTATGACATTAATGGTTTAATGTTGCCATACCTGACCACTACACCATAATGTTAGGATGGCAAACGCTACGTATGTTTTGAGTGATTGATATTCTTTCTGTCTGTGTAGTTTGACGTGCCCCCAGTGGAGGACTTTAGTGGCTGTGTCCCTGAAGACCTCCTACCCCTGCCGTTACCTGACAACAAGCTGCCAGAGACTAGTGGCTCCGCCCATGTCCCCACCCCCTCACCCTCCCTTGACTTCAACGACAATGAGGACCTTCCCACTGAACTCAGCGACTCGTCAGAAACACATGATGAGGGTGTGTACGCTCTCTCAAAAACGGATTTTTACCATTTGTATATACTGCACCACATCTGGTCTGACACACGGACTCTTCCTGTTTCTGTGTTCTCAGCAGGGGAAGTGCAGGCCTTCCAGGAAGATCTGAATGGGAAACTGTACATTAATGAAGTGTATAAGTTCAGTGTGGATAAAATGTATGACATCCTCTTCACTGAATCCCAGTTCATGAGAGAGTTTCTGGAGCAGAGACGCTTTTCAGGTTGACCATTATGGTCTGTCTGTCTGTCTGTCTGTCTATCTGTCTATCTATCTATCTATCTATCTATCATCTATCACGTAACAATCATATATCTAACAGTCTTTATCCAACTGTCTATCTATTTGTCTGTCTGTCTTTCTGCTTATATCTGTCTGTTATTGATTTCACCTTTTTTTTCTCTTTTCAGATGTGGTCTATCACCCATGGAAGAAAGAGGACACTGGTAATCAGACCAGAGAGATCATGTACACCATCTCCCTCTCCAATCCACTGGCCCCAAAGACGGCCACAGTCACAGAGACGCAGGTGAGCTCACCAGAGCAGATAAACAAGCCACATACAGTATACGGGACGTGTTTCATGTAGTTTTGTCTTTTGATTACGCTGTGAAAAGCTGTTTCTTTGTTTTTCTTCCAGACTCTGCACAAGGCCAGTCAAGTGAGCGAGTGCTACATCATCGACGCTGAGGTGATTGCTCACGATGTCCCGTATCACGATTACTTTTACACGCTCAACCGCTACATGCTCACCAGAGTCGCCAAGAACAAGTGCCGCCTGAGGTAAAGCTTGTGCTCTATATTTATTCATTCTTTACTCTATCTTTAATCCAATAAATATCATTATAATATGTAATGCTCTGTGCTATACAACAACATTTATAGCATGTAAGGATAAAATGCTGTGTTTTTTCTTATGAATCTAAAAGGGTATCAGCTGAACTACGCTACAGGAAGCAGCCATGGGGACTGGTCAAGGGCTTCATTGAGCGAAACTTCTGGAGTGGCCTGGATGAATATTTTAGGTATTTAGGTAAGTTTTGGCAGGGATTAATAAAATAAAGCTGCGGAATAAATTATAAAAATCTACACCTGACCCACTAACACTTGCAATCTCTATTCTTCTTCTATTCTAACTACTTGTTTTATTTTGATTATATATATATATATATAAAATTGCTACATGGTAGACTAACCGGGACTTGTCACAGCACTTATATATTGCTGCTCTTTTGTTGGTTTGATTGCTTCTATTGTCCTCATTTGCAAGTCGCTTTGGATAAAAGTGTCTGCTAAATGACTAAATGTAAATGTAAATAAAAATGATGAAGATAAACAATGTTTATGCCAATAATGGTCTTGAAATGAACTTAAAATCAGATCAAATTTTTTAAATATTTAATTTTATTAAATTTTATAGTAAAAGATAATAAAATAATAGAAATAAAAACGCACAGGACATGATAGAAAGAATAAAGATGAAAACAATATCTGTTTCTTTCTCTCTCTTTGCTCTATGTGTAGAGCTGGAGTTGAGTAAGGTACAGCTGGTGCTATCTGAACCTCACACACAGTCTCCCAAATCCAAAGCGCTACGCACAGCTACAATGAGGCGGAGGAAACGGCCCCTGACGCACATGAGGCAGCAGCACCTGGACGAGGCGCTCAGCCCCGTCACCACACCTGAGGATGAGAAGAGTGTCATCCATCGCATCAAACACGTGGCAGGTGCGACATTAGCCAAATCTCAAAGACACTTTATGCATTATCCCTGGATAATAATGTTGTTTTGTTGTACTTTTAAAGTACTCTCTCTCTGTGTTATTGATTATAATGTATGTGCTGTCGCAGGATCCACACAGACCAGACACATCCCAGACCATGGATCTGAAGGCCTGGCTCTCTACAGTGTTTCCAAACTCCTGCTTATAATCAGCTCTGTGTAAGTATTCTCAGTGGGAATTAAACAACAAAAAACTTATTTTCTCCACTCCTTTTCTCCCAAATTGCTCATTTTAGCACGTGCATCTCATTTATGAAGCAAGGTTCCTGGTATAAAATACAAGAATTTGATTTATACATACTGTAGCATGATACAAAAGTATAGAGTATGCCTTTTTAAAGTCTGAGGTCTGATTTCATTCTGATTAATCTTCATACTGTGTCAGTCTGTGTCAGATTAAAAGGTTTCTCCATTTCTTTCACATGTTTCATAGTGCCTGTATAAGTAGCTCAAACTGTTGATCAGCTGGAATTTGTTACAGTCTGTTGTTCTTTGGCTTCATGTCTTTTCTCTCTTCTGTTTTCATTACATCCTGCAGGATTTGTGTAAGGTATTCGATGCTTTCATCTGTATGAATGTTGATAGGCACCGATCCCGTGGGAAAAACTCGAGATATTCTCTATTCATATTGGTGAAACAGATCTGGCAAACTATCCAGTGCATATTTGTGTTTGCACTCTGGAGAGCGTCAAAAGGTTTCTGTTTACATCGTGCTTTAGCGTTTAGCGTTTAGCAATGTAGCCAATCACAGACATACCATTGATTTCTTGAATGCAATTGCCAATCAGAGGCGTTTAAGTTAGAATCCACTCACCGCTCAAAACACCAGAGTTTTTCGGCCACATACACGCTGCAAAGTTTCGGGAATGACATTCACATATTTTATGCTGGATTCACACTCGAACGAGTAATGGATGGGACAAAAATACTGTATACGTGAACATGTTCATTGAGGCTAGAGCACACTCACTAATTTTTGAAGCACCCTCAGTATTTAACTCTGGAACCAGGCCTGGATAAATCTGTGTTTGAGAAGTTATCATTATCAGTAGCTCATATTTAGGCGATCGCATGGAGATTTATGTGGCAGTAGGCTATGCTTCAAAGTTGGAAAAATGAGCAGGATATTTGGTCATTTACTCTGTGAAAATCTCTATACTGTTAAAGTAAACATTAATGCACACAGGCTTCATTGAATACTCCTTGCATTTGTTGATTTCATCTTATGTGTGGATTACTGGGTTTTATTTAGTGTGTACAGCTCTGATAAGTAATAAACAATGTGATAATGCGGCTGGCCAATGTTAACTTTATTTTAATAAAAACACAAAACATGGTTATGAAACATGGCAGAAACATAAATCGGCGCCAATGATGAGCGTATAAATGCTGTCAAAACATTTTCAGCTGTACTGAGGTTTTTTTTGATGTAGCTGATATAGAGCGGTTTATAAGCTGATCTGAGTTTGTCCTCTTTTGTTCCTCAGCCTGGTGCTGCTGGTCTTTTTGAACATGATGCTGTTTTATAAGCTCTGGATGCTGGAATACACTGCTCAGGGTTTGACTTCCTGGCAGGGTTTCAGATCTCATGAAAGGTAACTAGATCCTTGAATGTGTTTATTTGTTTATTTGTAACTTGTCCTGCACTATTTGTGCCACTCTGCAAAACATGATTTTAGTCATCTGTATTTTTGTTAGTTTTCTTACAACATCAATTTAATTGAGAAGCAGCATTGCATAAGATGGAAGTTCTTACTTCATTACACACCTAACTCAGCATATATTCTCTAAAAGGTCTGATTATCTTCTTTCTTTTTCAGATTTTGCTTTTCAAGTCAATTTTTCCTAGGAAAAAATACTGATTATTAAACACATTTTCAGCATTTGAACATGAATTATACTTGTGTGAGGAATGTTTTTCGCTCTGTGTGTGTGTTGCAGTAAACTTCCAGAGACACAGATTGAATGGGCTCAACTTTTGAAATCTCAGCAGCGTTACCATGAAAACGAGCTGGAGAAATGGAAGGAAATAATAAAGTCGTCTGTGCTTTTGTTAGATGAGGTAAGATCGAGTACAAGTTTGAAATATGTGAAACTTTCATAACTGCATCATATTAATAAAACAATATAGAGTGTAAAACAATAAGGAATAAAGAAACTTAAAGGGATAGTTCACCCAAAAATTTCAATTCTGTCATCATTTACACATTTTCATGTCATTCTAAACCCATATGCCTTGCTTACTTCAGTGGACCCCAATAGGTGAAAACTGGAAGAAATAAGTGGTCCATATGGTTATATTCTAAATGTTTAGAATGAACTATTCCTTTAAACTGCAATCACTACAGGATTTCAAAGATGTATTTGTGTGTTTACAGATGAGAGAGTCTCTAATGAAGCTACAGAAAGGTATCGGGTTAAAAGACTACAATTCAGACAGTGAAGAAAGTCGCTATCACTGACAAACAGAGTCCCGGCTCAGCGAATGTGATGAACATCTCCACATGTAAGCGATCAGATGAGCTGAGCTGAGCTGGCATGGTAAGTGGGCGGCACTGACTGAACGGCTCTCACAGGCCAGCTGACAGCAGACACTGAAGGAAACCCAGTACTGTAAGTTCTCTGTCTCCTCCGTGATGAAAGAGATGGGGAAAAAAAGGAAAGCAGTCGCTTGATTGGTATTTTCATCCAGGGCTAAAACAAACTCAACCAAAACAATTCAACTGTAACTGCAAAACGGACACAGACTCCCTGGTTCAAACACTCGGAAACCTTCAGCAGATGTTGGAACTCGACAGCATCCCTTTTTTAAAACCTTTTGGAGTCTGGGACCAGATGAAGTAAATATGGAGTTGCTATCAGCAAGTGTTACGTGGACATGTACACATTTATTTATAAAAACAAAATATGGAATTGAATGATATTATGATGCACATGAAGACATATAATTTCTATGTAGAGCTATATTTGTTGCCAGAGTACATTTGTAACAGGCTTCCATGGAGAATCAAGGCTGGTTCCTTGATAGATTGCGCCATGGTGCATCAACTATATGCAACTGGTTTATCCTCCCGTTTGGAGGAACGACTTCTTCTGATTGGTTGATTTGCAATGGCGAAAGAGCCACGGTCACTAAGGTTGAACGGTAGAATCATATACCATATACTTTGTTCCCAAAGTTTCAGGAATGATTCTGCATATTTATACAGGATTCTCTCTCGAAATAGCACTGATTGACAAAGTGATAACCATAGCAATGGATGGGTCAAAAACATACTAAGGCTAGATCAAGCTAACTTCAGAAGCACCCTCAGTGATCTAATTCTGGAACTGGGTCTGGTGCAGAGTAAACTATAAGAAATCCATTTTAGCTTGATTTCCCTGAAAAGTGAAACACTGTGGCTCTGTGGTGCTATCAAAACATCCCAACCATCTTGACACAGCATTGGCTCAAACAATAGCGTGAGTTTGGGGCGGGACCCAAAGTTTTATTTAAAAAGATGGTTGCTAACAAGTGGCTAAATGGGACTACAGAGGTTGTTAGGCAATGAAAAGCAAAATCCATCTTTTAAAGTTTTATGTAAAGACGAATCACAATCAAAGTTGTGATCACTTTTGAAGACTATCATGATCGTAGACTTTTGGTCACAGGGCTTATTTTCTGCAATAAACCTAAAGCCAATGGAAAAATTATTTTGGGTTTTTGGCGAGGGAATCAGGGTGATGCTAACTTTTGTCCTGCAAAAATGTGTCATCACTTCAGCGCTCTGTTGTGAGGATGTGTATGGGAATTGGGATGCAGCCATCAAGTCAACCAAACCTCTCATGCAGTAACGGTTGTGGAATATTAGTGGTTAACTACAGCAGGTCCACTCCAGCCAATAGCATCCATTCATTTGTGAATGAGTTATTGTTACATTAATGTGTTTCTGTTCTCCCTCAGGGTTCATTTATATCCTGCGGGCAGCTGTACACAACTTCATATTGCCAAGCTTTGATTTTAAAGCCATTCCATGATTTTTTTTTTTCTTTTTCATGTTGTATGTTGTTTTTGTGTTTTGATGCTGAACCAGCTGCTGGACGGGTGAGAGATGCACATTGGTCATGTGATGTGAGAAAGTATGGTTTTATTAGTGTAGTAGAGCTGGAGAGACTTTTATCTTGAAGTGTTCTTACAGAAAGACCAGCAGCTGGTGTGTTAAGACGGAACTGTGAAAAATCCAGGTTATGCTTGAATTTATAAAGAGAAACTGTTTAGAAACTTACATAATAAAAAATCAACCTCATAAAAAAGGTTAGCTCTAACCTCTTGAGGTGTCATACGCAAAAACATTTCTCATACAAACTCCCACACACAAGTACTGGAGTTGATGGTTTTTATAGTTGGAGCTACAGTCCCTAGAGTGGCCTCTATTGAAATTGAGCCATTGGTGCTCATGTGGGCGACATGGGTTCGAGTCTAGCTTGTTTTAATTCCCAATCATGTTCCCTCCTTTCCTCCTCATCAAGAATAGTTCAACAGGCCAAAAATTAAATTAGAAATGTATTTAATTGGTTTGATCTATTTCTAAGCAGCAATTTCACAATCAATCTAAAGTTCTAATGTGTATATTTAAATATCAGGTGGTTTTGTGGAGTCTTCCACTAGTTTCTGATTGTTTTTAGTCCTTTAGTATCTATCATTGTTTAAACCAATGTATGAAATAATGAAAAGAGACAGCTGATTGCTGTCTTATGTGATGTGAAACTGTCTCAGATGGACTGGTCTAATGTGGTCACTATGAGCCAGTCCAATTTATTCAAAGCAAATGGATCTTAGATGATCATTTTGTCTTGTGAGATTCTGGGCACGTGTGTTTCGGAGCCTCTGCAACCCCCTGTTGGCTTTAGTGGCAGACCCCTTATCCTACTTTAAGCAACAATGGCAATAAGAAAATAGTAGATAACTACAAATATCATCTGCAGGCTGTAGTGATCAGCTTGCACTGTTCATGCTAGGGGGTCAGTTAGCTTTTAAGGGCAGACCACACACAAAATATATTTTTCTTGATACTTATGATCATAGGAATCAATCCAGGAAAGGGACTACAATTCATTCATGTCTGTATTCATCCTCATAGTCATTAAACCAAAATGCAGTATTAAATGTGCAATGCGTGTTCAAGTAGAGTGTGTAAGTACTGCTGAAACTCCACATGAACCGTCTGTGTGAATGTATTTTCTAGCTGAAAGACGATCCTTCATTTGGACATAACCTGCTGAGTTTGGAAGCACGGGTGATTTAGAAGGCATAATGTCTTTTGATGTCAAGCATTGGGAGGCCACAGCAATGGTGCCACATTGCTCACTGTCAGGCCCTAAAAGTATTATTTTTCAAGTTCTGCTGACAATATTATTTTGTACTGTAGCCTATGTACACAGACAGGATGGTTGCTTTCCTATGGCCATGACTGTTATGGTCTAGAGATAGATGGGAAATTCATGTATGATGTTTATTTAAAGGTCATGTCAAAGCCAGGAGCAAAACACTGAGGTAAAAACACACCGGGTTGTTCTTTATGTTTATTTTATTTTTCCAGAAACATTGAAACAAAAAAGAATATGAATTGTAATTACAACAGTGAGGTTTTTATTTTAATTATTTAAATTTTTATTTACAAATGTATATACACACAATTATACTGCAATGTATGTATATGTTGTGTACAGTGCACATCCTACATGCGCTGGCTGCACTGTAGGATGCCTGAAAACCTTTCAGAAAAATAAATAAATAACTTGTTCTTTATGTTTATTTTATTTTTACAGAAACATTGAAACAAAAAAGAATATGAATTGTAATTACAACAGTGAGGTTTTTATTTTAATTATTTTAATTTTTATTTACAAATGTATATACACACAATTATACTGCAATGTATGTATATGTTGTGTACAGTGCACATCCTACATGCGCTGGCTGCACTGTAGGATGCCTGAAAACCTTTCAGAAAAATAAATAAATAACTATACAATCTGTGTTGTCAAGAATAGATGGAATGAATAAAAGTATTTAAAAGAGATTTTTATTGCATTTCTTATCACTTGCTACATTTTCTGAATTTTAACTTTATTTTTTTATTATTTTTTTCCTCTCAACAATAATTATACATACAATAAAGTGTGGAAGACAATCATAAAATATATCAAATGGACTATTAAAAATAACATTTTTATTTCTTGAATTCTGTTAGTGTTTGTCTCCACCTTGTGGCTGTGGCACATACTGTACATTTTTAAAATACATTTTAGTAGGATTAATCTGTGTAAACTACTAATTTACCCCAATGTCAAAAGTGTCCCAATTTACCTGAATTGACATTTAAGATCCGAAAGTGGTACCCCCTTTATCCCATAATGTTTTAATGAATAATTATTTAATTGTAATTTATCTACGAAGATGACTTAGAAGACATAGAAGGTAAATTGCAGTAATTGCTCATTTAGAGACATGCTCTACTTGGAGATCTCTAGGGCCTTTTCTTCTAAATGCCCCAATTAATCTCAGTTTTTCAGGGAGAAAAATTCCTTCGAGACTCACCAACATGACCCATATAATTGATGAACAGAACAAAGAAAGGTTCCTACAGATGATATAAGATCACTGTGTAAAACAACACTGAGGTAAGTAAATGTCAACTTGTAATTTATGCGCAGAGAAAGGCAAATCAAGTGGCCAAAAGGTTTACGTTCTCCATATTTCACCGCCAGATATTTTAGCCAATACATATTTATTAAAATTAGTGACATTCAAACAATCATTAGTGTCAGAACACACGTGTCAATACTTTGTTTTTCATTAAAATAAATAAATTAAAATATCGTTAAACCCAGGGTCAGAAATTAACCAGGGGGGAAAAAATCCCTCATATTAAAAAAAATAAAATAATAATTCCTCTTTTCCCCCCTCTCGTTTGCACTTATGAAGGAAACAATAAAAATGACAACACGCGACAAACTAACACGCTATTGGTCAGTTGATAGTGGTCGCGTCGCGTCGCTCGCCTCCGGGCCTGCAGCTTCATAATGTTGGGCGTCATGTTGACGAACACCCGCCCATGACTGCCGATCTCCTCCTTTTCCAGGAAGTAAAAAACGCGTCAAATAAGGAGGAACAAGGTGAAACGCTTCCTCCTCATATCTGTCCCTTTCCCTCATTAATGCGTTAATCACATTAATGTTTTAGATTGTCGTGTGACGCAGCTGTATGATGTCCATTAGAGCGCGAAACAGAGAGATCTGCGCGGACTGTAGCGCGCCCGGTAAGACAAACAAAACAAACATCAAACAAACGCAGATGAGATCCTGCAGGGTTTTATTCAGACAGATGTTTAGAAACGGAATTTATTTGAGATTATTCTCAAGCAAACGCAGTAATAATCCTCAGGGATTGCATGGATATGGGTGTCTGAATAAAACAGAGCTCGGTGGTTAAAGAACAATCCCGATATTCCCACTGGAGAATAGAATACCGCTAACCGATGATGTTCAGGCCCTCGTTTAAAAAACAAAAAAACTAATTTTTACATTCAGATCAACCAACAAATTGTAGTTTCTCAATTTCTACTGAGAAGTAAAACCACAAAATCTTTATTTTAATGAGAAGGGAAGA